TAATTCTTTGTATGGTTTTTTTGGTTTCTATTTCATTGATTTCAGCTCTTATTTTTATTATTTCTCTCCTTCTATGTGTTTTGGGATTTGCTTGTTCTTGTTTTTCTAGGAGTTTGAGATGTATCATTAGGTCATTGATTTGGGATCTTTCAGTCTTTTTAATATATGCACTCATGGCTATAAACTTTCCTCTCAGGACTGCCTTTGCTGTGTCCCATAGGTTCTGGTAGGTTGTGTTTTCATTTTCATTGACTTCCAGGAACTTTTTAATTTCCTCTTTTATTTCATCATGACCATTGTTCATTAAGTAATGAGTTATTCAGTTTCCAGCTGTTTGCATGTTTTTTGTCTTTACTTTTGTTGTTGAGTTCTACTTTTACTGCATTGTGATCAGATAGTATGCACGGTATAATTTCTATTTTCTTATATTTGCTGAGGCTTGCTTTGTGCCCTAGGATATGATCTATTTTGGAGAAGGTTCCATGGGCTGCTGAGAAGAATGTATATTGTGTAGAAGTTGGATGAAATGTTCTGTAGACATCAAGTAGGTCCATTTGATCTATTGTATATTTTAGATCTTGGATTTCTTTATTGATTTTTTTGTTTGGATGACCTATCTATTGATGATAATGGGGTGTTAAAGTCTCCCACAACCACTGTGTTGGAGTTAATATATGCTTTTAGGTCTTTCAGGGTATGTTTGATGAAATTGGGTGCGTTGACATTGGGTGCATACAGGTTGATGATTATTATTTCCTTTTGGTCTATTTCCCCTTTTATTAGTATGGAATGTCCTTCTTTATCTCATTTGATCAATGTAGGTTTGAAGTCTACTTTGTCAGAGATAAGTATTGCTACTCCTGCCTGTTTTGGGGCCATTGGCTTGGTAAATCTTCTTCCAGCCTTTCATCCTAAGCCTATGCTTATTTCTGTCAGTGAGATGGGTCTCCTGTAAGCAACAAATTGTTGGATCTTCCTTTTTAATCCATTTCGTCAAGCGGTGCCTTTTGATGGGTGAATTAAGTCAATTAACATTGTTAAGTACTGATAGGTATGTGGTGATTCCTGTCATTTAGTTGTCTTAGTTGTTTGAGGGTTTGATTGTGTGTACCTAAGTTGAGGTTACTCTCTACTTTCTTACTTTTTCTTTTCTTGTGGTTTGGTGCTGCCTGTCCTTCATGGTTAAGTTGGGTTTCACTTTCTGTATGCAGAATCCCTTGCAGAATCTTTTGTAGTGGTGGCTTTGTGGTCACATATTGTTTTAGTTTCTGCTTATCATGGAAGACTTTTATTGCTCCATCTATTTTGAATGATAGTTTTGCTGGGTAGAGTATCCTGGGGTTGAAGTTATTTTCATTCAGTGCCTGGAAGATCTCACCCCACGCTCTTCTTGCTTTTAATGTTTCTGTTGAGAAGTCTGCTGTGATTTTGATGGGTTTACCTTTGTATGTTATTTGTTTTTTCTCTCTTACAGCCTTCAATATTCTTTCCCTAGTTTCTGAACTTGTTGTTTTAATGATGATATGTCATGGGGTAGTTCTATTTTGATCTGGTCTGTTTGGTGTCCTGGAGGCCTCTTGCATCTGTATGGGAATATCTTTCTCTAGATTTGGGAAATTTTCGTTATTATTTTGTTAAATATATTACACATTCCCTTCGCTTGCACCTCTTCTCCTTCGATGCCCATGATTCTCAGGTTTGGTGAGTTCTTGCATTTTCTTTTCACAGGTCTTGAGTTGTTTAATTAATAGTTCTTCGGTTTTTCCTTTAATTACCATTTCATCTTCAAGTTCTGAGATTCTGTCTTCTGTTTGTTCTATTCTGCTGGATTGGCCTTCTGTTTTGTTTTGCAGTTCTGTTTCGTTCTTTTTTCTGAGGTTTTCCATATCCTGGGTGGTTTCCTCTTTAATGTTGTCTATTTTTGTCCTGAGTTCATTTATCTGTTTATTAATCGTGTTCTCTGTTTCACTTTGGTGTTTATACAGTGCTTCTATGGTTTCCTTTATTTCTTCTTTTGCTTTTTCAAATTCTCTATTTTTGTTGTCTTGGAATTTCTTGAGTGTCTCCTGTACATTTTGGTTGACCCTATCCAGTATCATCTCTATTCAATTCTCATTGAGTACCTGTAGTATGTCTTCTTTTAAATTATTCTTGTGGGCTTCATTGGGTCCTTTGGCATAGTTTATCTTCATTTTGTTGGAGTCTGGATCTGAGTATCTGTTTTCTTCATTCCCCTCTGGTTCCTGTACTAATTTTTTTGCTGTGGGGAAACTGGTTTCCCTGTTTTTTCTGTCTTCCCGTCATTGTCCTTGGTGTTGTTACTGTCCCTGTACTGTGTGCAATTAAGTATTTTGTAGCTTGTAATAATAACAATGGTGATATTTAGAATGGAAGGGTGAGAGGAGATGGAAATCAAGAAGTTAAAGAAAAAGGAAAAACAGACAAGTAGGAAGAAGCAAAACAAGAATCAAACAAAGTTTCAAAGGTATAAACAGGGAGTGTTAGTGTACTAATCAACAGTAAGCTGAACAGGCCTTAGAGAGACAGAGAGAGGATTGAAAATAAAAAATAAAAAGAATTAAGATAAGAATAAAAATAAAAAAAAGTAAATGAAAGTTAGATATATATATATATATAAAATAAAACAAAATGAAAAAAAAAAAAAAAAACCTCCAAGTTCAAATGGAATGAAGTTTCAGTCTTAATAATTTTGGTGTCCGTCTCAGTCTCCAATCCTGGAGATGGTTCCTCAGATGTTGTTCTGTAGTTGTCTCATCAAAGGGGATGCATAAAGTAGAATAAAACTGCACAAAAAAAATAAAAATAAAAGACAAAAACCAAAAAAAACCCACACAGTGTCCCAAGTTCAAATGCAATACAGTTTCAGTAAGTTTTTCAGCATGCAGGTGTAGTTCGGTTGTTTTTTCATCAGAGGTAGGGAGAGAGAAAAAAGAAAAAAAGGAGTCTGGGGACAGCTTTGTGAATGACTATCTGAGGCCATGGCTTGCCTGCCCGCTGCTGTCAGCCTGCTGTTGCTGGTGGCGTTATTTATGCAGATCTCTGGGGTGAGCTTAGCACTCACCTGGCCCTGCAGGCTTTGTTTACTCAGAGCCCTGTGCGCGAGCCTCTGCTACAAGCTTTCCCCTTTCTAAGCACACTGGGGGAAGTGACACTGCATCCGCTTTCTCAGGCCTGCGTGTTTATTTACAGTTCACGTGGGAAGTAGATCTTCCCCCTTCTCTGTGGAGTTTTCCTCCCTCTGCCAGTCTCACAAGCTTTCCTGCTCCTGGTTGCTGGGCACACGCCCGGCTCCTACCGGAGCCTCTCCGGCCGCCCAGCTTGTTTATTTACAGTCCCGGGAAAGATTCCCTTCCCCAATCTTTGGCGCTCAGTGCGCCCCACCCTCTTTCCCGCGTGTCTTTATTTTCTTATTGCTTATTAGTCAGTTTCTCTTTTTTTCCCCGGGTAGGAGTAGGTCTGTCCACGGGGCTATGCTGCTCTGGCCGAGGGTTGTCTGTGGGAGTACCGCGGTACCACGAAGCTCACCTTGTCCGTGTCTTCCCAAGCCGTCTGGGCGCTTGGGAAGACATCTTAGAAAGGTAACTGGAGCATGAACAGTGCCCAGCCTAAGCTGATTTTCTGGTGGTTTCCTTGTTGTAGGCACAACAAATCCTCCTGATTTCTCTGTTTAATGTGAAGTGGAGATGCTCTGCGCCGGCTGGAGGTGTGGAGGGGTCAAAGTTTTGCCTCTTTTCGGTGGTTTTGCCAGAAAGGTGTGTCTCCAGTGTCTCTCCAAGATTTCACTATAGGAGGCACGCTTTCTGCTTCCTCCCTCTGGCTGCCATCTTGGAATCTCCTTGAAAAAATTTTATATAAATTCCACACTTTTTATTCTTGGTTTTTCTTGAGACCAGGTCTTGCTGAGTAGCTCAGGCTGGCCTGGAGCACAGAAGCCTCCTGAGTGCTGGAATTACAGGTTTGAGCACCCTGCCTGGCTCTGATACAGTTGTATTGAAGATTTGTTTTTGGTTGGGACTGAAGTTTTCTAATGCTCCTTAAGGTTTCTAATGCTTTCTAAAGGTTAAACCATATGGTATTATTTTGCTCTGCAGAAAAAGTTGGTTCATGTATCGTTCCTTTTGGCTTCTGGGCTTATACTTTGCTTGGAAAGGTTTCCCTTTGAGATGGTAAAGCATTTTCTTCTAGTATTATGCTTTCATGTTTTTTTTTTGTTTTTGCATTTAATATTTGGTCCCTCTGTAATTAACTTTGGTCTAAGGAATAAGGTAGGAATCCAGTGTGGTTTTTGGGTGGCTGACCACCTAACTTTGAGGGTTTGGGTCTGCTTATATATTTTCCCCTTGCTGTACTGCTCGTCCCTACAGCATCACTGGAAGCTTTGGCTCCTTACCTGAGTGAGAGGCTACCTTGACTGTATGAGTTTTAAATTAGATACAAATGCAAGAAATCTTTTAACATAAAGGAATCAAATGTGTGGATTTAGAAGAGTTTCACCTTTGGTGAAGCTGCATTTTGACCCTTCTGAGTGTTCCACTGTAGATTTCATTTTGGTACTCGGTCACTGTCCTGCGTTTTCTAGTTATACAGGGGCAGCGGGTTTTGTTATGACAGTTCCATATATATGATGTATAGATATATAGATATATATATGATGTATAGATAGATATATATGATGTATAGATAGATGTATTTACAATATATAGATAGATATATATGATGTATAGATAGATAGATCATATAGATATCATGTCCCAGTTTGGCTCATTCCTTCCATTTGTTTTCTGTTCTTAACTGACTCTCAGATTTTCTGGGTATAGAATCACATCTGTAAATGATTGCATACACCTTATTTTTCATTCTAGACGACAGACCTATTGCAGTTTTTTAAATGTTTTGATAACCCCGACATCTTAGAAAGGTAACTGGAGCATGAACAGTGCCCAGCCTGAGCTGATTTTCTGGTGGTTTCCATGTTGTAGGCACATGCTGATTAGGAAGCTCAGTCAGCTGAGAGAGCGTGAGCCGGAGCTGGCCCAGCTGCTTGTTGATCAGGTGAGAAGGGCTTGCGGCTCAGAGGGCCTGGGTTGACCCTGGGGACGAGCCCAGTCAAGCAGAATGATGGGGCTGGGAGGGAGCCCAGCTGCCTTGGAGGTAGGGGGGGCTGCTCTCCACAACCTAACATGATTTCACCCCTGCCTTTCAGATCTATGAGAATGCCATGATAGCTGCTGGGCTCGTTGATGACCCCAGACCCATGGTCAGCCGCCTGAATGACCTTCTTGTCAAGGCCCTGGAGCAACACTGATGGGCTAGGCCTGGTGTATGTACACCTGGGGTCTTCTCAGGGACAAATTGAGACCTGTGCCTAGGAAGTATCTTCTAGGCAGGGAGAGGAAGGACTAGATACTACAGAGGAGACTACCATCTTCTTAAGCTTTATTGATCTTAATTAAAAAGTGTTTCTTAATCTGTATATTAGACTTTTTCTCCCAGCTGAGTGTGCTGATAGAGCGCCATGCTTGAGGAAGGGCCATGATGCTGGTGGGCATCAGACTGTCTTGAGTGTTACTTCCACAGGGTAATGGTCACTGATGGCTTTGGCCTGCAGGGGGTAGAAACAGGGTCAGGACTGGCACCCACTCAACTCTTGTGACCCCCAGTAAGCCATGTGAAGGACACATACAAGTGAGTCCTTCAGTCCGTAGGCTGCTTGGAAGTCAAAAGGAGCAGCTGAGCCAGGAACAACAGCAGCCTGGAGCAGTGTTCCAGCGACCACAATCCTGCAAGGCATCAGACAGGCAGGTAAGGCTCTTGCTCAGCCCTGGCCCAACTCTGGAGCCAGCATGCAGGCTGCAGTGTGCCCAGTAGATTCCACCTCACCTAAGTAGGCAAGGCAAGTGTCCAAGGGCCTGGTCACTGCTTCTGAGCTGAACCACCACCTCCCTGCCAGGCTGGAAGCTCGTGACAGGGAGTCTGCTCACCTGTCATAGGCGCAATGTGTGGATGAGACTGTGGTGTCGGCAGTGTCAGGAATCAACCACTGGAAGATGGGGCTCGTGCGCAGGCGGATGGAGGACCAATCAGAGGAGGTCACGTAGCTGCATCCCGCATTGAAATCGCCCATCAACATGATATTCTGTCAGGAGACAGTTGCCTGTTGGCCCAGGAACAAAGGGCCACCAGAGCCCACACCCCAAAGCAGCCTCACCTCCAGGCCCCACTTTTGCCGGACATCCAAGTAGACGTCATAGAGTGCATCAATCTCAGCCACTGCCTCTGCTGGGGCCGCGTGCAGGGGCACGATGGCAAACTCCTTGACCCCTGAGATGAGAGCAGACAAGCTAAGTTCTGTATGGGTGGACAGTGACACCATGGCAGAGTGTGGACTTCCCTATTGGCCTGATGTAAAACAGGAGCAGTCAGGCCTAAGAAGACATCCAGCTGCCCAGAGGCAAGGAGTGAGGCGGCCACATGGGCTCTCAGCGTGAGTACCAAACTAAGGATCCACATTGTCCAGCACTCACGTGTGAACGGGGAGGAGAACTTGACAATGGCCGGCTCTCGGCTGAAGGTATCATTCCCACAGGGCTCACAGCCGTCGTCATAGTAGTAGCTGTCCAGCGCAGTCACCTGGTCAGGCCTATGGGGGAGGTGACCTTGGGGCTGAAGCCACTCCCTCTGGCCCAGTGCTTTCACCCTTTGTCTTGGCAAGCCTGCCCACTAGGGACCTGTCGTCCTGAGCAGCAAGAGGGGCTGGACTTGCACTCAGGCACCACAGGCTCAGGGTCTGTCCTTGCCTCTCCACAGGCCATGGGAGGACCCAGGAGTGGCCACCCCTGCAGGGGCTGGTCCAGCTCTGGACCTGGACCCCGCTCTGGGTCCTGTAGAACACATTGCTATCCCTACTCTGTGGGGTCCTCCCAGGCAAGGGAAAGGCTTAGTGGGCTCTCCAGACCACACTTAAGCCTTCTGTGGTGCCCACAACCCCTGTCCTTGCAGTCACAGCCGTGTCAGCCCAGGGCGTCACCTGTATACAAAAAGGTAACGTTCCTTGTAGCTGTTGCGCCCCAATGGCTCACTGACCACATAGCGATAGGTGTCCGGTGCATCCCTAAATGGAAGAAATAAAAGGTCCCACTGAAACCACGCTAGTGACAGCAGGGCTCTGACCACTGTCTCCGAGGCCCAAATGAAGTGAGGTTGTGCCCTGAAAATAGACACCTCCCCCAGGACTCCCATCACTGTTACTCACTGATTGAGTTTATCCAGCAGCTTCCCTACAGCCACCAGGTAGGTATCTCTGACTTCCTGAACAAGGGCGATGTCATAACGACTCAGAATCTGGGGGATAGGGCCACAGTGGCTGAGCAGGGCTGGGGCTCAGTGGATACTCCAACCACTTACTGCTTGCTGCCCAGGGCACTGGGCCCTGTCTACTCCCAAGACCCTCAGAGGGCCACAACTGCTGCTTCCTGACACGTTCTTGTGGCACAGTCTGGCCTACATCTTTACGCACCCACCTGGACTCCTGCTTGCCGTGGACAGCTGCAGGCCTAACAGCTACTCGTTGATAGGTGACACCTTTTGCTCTCAATGCCTCCGCACACTCTGTGACCCCCAGAGCCCACTATCCCCGCCTCCCAGGGCCTTTCTGTCCTCAGGGACAGGCCACTCTGGACTTACCTGCACAATGTAATTAGAGAGGGTGGCGTTGGACATCTTGGTTTCCCCAAAAGTCTGGATGTTGAAAGCTGCGATTTTCAGAGACACAGCCACCTGCTGTAAGCCAGCCAGGGTGAACAGCACCCCCATCAGCCTTGAGGCCCTCATCCTGGGAGAACATGGGTCACAGGAATAGAGAAGCAGTGAGACTTTCCCAAAATCTCCACCCCGGCATCCCTCCCTTGAGTCCAGCTTGGCAGGAGCTGGTACAGCCCAAGGTCAAGGGTGTCCTGCCCTTATGGCTGTGCTAGAACTCAGACTAGGGAAACCCTCAGTCCTATCCATACCATCCTAAAGGTCAAATGCCTAGTGCCACAGAGAGGACCCTGGATTTCCTCATTCCTTCACCCGCCAGAAAACCAGCCCTGTGAGCAATGCCAGTTTATGGCTAGGACCATGAGAGCTGCCCAATGCCAACCCTGCTCCATTGGGAGGACACAGCCTGAGTCTGCCCACCCTGCTCTGGGACTGGTGGGTGACTAAGCCTGGCACTCACCCAAGATGATGTCTGCAGAAATGATGGATTTTCTATCAAGAATCTGGAATAGTCCTTGATACCAATTTTCTGCTTCTGTTGCTTTAAGGAAAAACAATTTACAAAGGGAAGTCTATAGAAAAAATGAACAGCAAGGACTTAGAGAGTTTCTGGGACTTGGGTCCCTCCACAAGCAGTCTGGTCCTTCCCTGGCCAGGGTTTTAAAGGTTCAGGCAGTAGTGGCCTCCCCAGGTCTCCTGTGCACCCTTCACCTGAGAGCACAGAACAAAGGCCCTGCCTGTGTGGCCTTCCCCTGGGGGTGTTGGCAGGCTGCTGGCATATGCTGACTTCAACAGACACAGGCTGCTATAAAAACACCCTGATAATCATGTTTGCACGTGATTATAAAATGTCAGATAGTGTCCTTTGCCCATTCTGTGTGCTCCCCACCAGGGATGGGCAATGGGTGTGTGCTAGAAGGCTAGTCTGGGGGCCTTGATTGAGGTCACCTTGGTGCCAGAGATCAAAGCCGACACTGGGTTGCTTGTTGCAAATGCAACCTGGTGACATCCAGACTACCTTGGCTGCTCTACAGCCCAGGACCCTCAAACCACCCTGCCTTTCTGACTTAACAAATGAAGTATAGGCAACTGGGTGAAAACTTGGGGGCTTAGCACAGGGAATGTGGACCCTGTGGCATCGAGCCTGCTAGGACTGTGCACTCACTGGGGAAGGGTGGGGCCCTCCTGAGGCGAGTGAGAGGCTGTGTCTAGCCCCAGAGGTACTGCAGCAGCTCAGGGCTAGCTGGGTCTTGGCCCAGCCATTTGTAGAATCCTGATCTTCTCATTGGTGCTCATTTCCTGGGGCTGCTATAACAAATGACCACAAATTCAGTGGCTTCAAACAATGGAAATGGATCCTCTCACCATTCTGGATACCAAGATGCAGGGCTACCCACTCCACTCCAGGGGAGGGTCCTTGTCCCTTCCAGCTTCTGGTGGCCCTCACCAACCCTTGGCTTGTGGCTGTATCACTCCAATCTCTGCCTCCATGGTCATGTGGCCTCTTTGGTGATTCCCCTCTATAAAATTCATGTGACTGCATTTAGGGTCCTCCCAGATAAGCCAGGTTAACATCCATGTCTCATCATCCTTAATCGCAATTGCAAAGTCCTCTTTTGCGATATAGATTAACATTAGCACTCCAAAGATTAGGGTGTGGATATCTTTTGGGGTGCCAATATTCAGCCCACCACTTCATCCAGAGCCAGCTCTTGGATGGCTCTGCAAGAACAGCATGCCATGTGGGAAGGCTTGGTCCCTCCATAGGGAGGAAAGTTCTGGAGGGCCAAGCAGAAGCAGAGGCAATACTGAGGCTCAAGAACCTAGCTGGTGACTTAGGTATGTAATCCTAGCTACTTGGGAGGCTGAGATTGGGAGTATCATGATTTGAGGCTAGCCCACACAAATAGCTCGCAAGACCCCATCTCCAAATTAACCACAGCAAAATGGAGGGGAGGTATGGCTCAAGTGAAACAGCACCAGCTTTGCAAACACAGGCCCTGAGTTCAAACCCCAATCCCACTTAAGGAAAAAGAAAAAAAAGCCAACTTGGAGGGGCTGCAGGATGGGGGCGGGGGCAGGGTCACCTCAAGGGCAGGAGTCAGCAGGGACAAAGGAAAAGGCAGCAGATCTGGCCAGCAGGCCTGGAAGCTGAGGGCAGGCCCAGTGGGGATTAACACTGAAGGAAAGTAGAGTGACCTCCAGGAGACCAGCCCCCTCTAAAGGTCAAAAACATCCCTCCAGTTGCCTTTGGCTGTCAGCACTGATGCCCACTGTGCATCTCCCACCTGCTGCCCTCCAGCTGCCAGAAACTCATCACAAGCCTTTCCAAAGGTGTGACTGCTGACTCTATCCTCTTCAATCCCCAAGGCTGGGACAGGTTTAAGCATGTCCACACCCAGTCTCCAAACTACTGAAGAGGTTGTGCATGTAGCTCAGGCCCTGACTGAGGACCTAGAGGACAGACACTGTCTACAGAAAGGTCGCCTGCTCCAGCCTCCAGTTGGACACAGGATGCCAATTGTAGTTGGCACATCATGGCTTATTTTGAGGCTCAGGCCCTCTAGTTCTCAGCACATGGGACAAGACACCTGGTCAGCCTGTCACCCCCTCCCTGCTCGTGGGGCTCCAGTTAGCAGGAAAGTTGGGATTCAGGCCTTGTACGAATGGCTGAGCCCAGGGCACTTGCTGCACATGGTAGAAGCCAGGGCAGGGCTGCTGTGTGAGTTGCTCAGTCCAGGATGAGCCGCCTGGAGTCAGGGACTTGAAGTTTGACTGGACTACCCCCTGTGTCCTCACCCATCAAGTGGGTGAGCTATTTTTACACCAGCCTGAGCATCTGCTGCCTTGTCCTCTTAAATTACCCCTGTCACAGATACACGAAGGGGAAAGAGCACAGAACAATGGCTTATTGAAGTCTGAGCCAAGTCAAAAGATGAAAGAAAAATCCTATAAACACCATGGCCGAGAACAAATGACCTCAAAGGGACACATGCAGTGACTCAGGCTACGTTGGGCTTTGTGCAACAGCCGGTGACTGTGGCTCCCACAGTCACCCCAGTGAGCTCGCAGGACGCCATCTGACCCTTTTTATTTTTGATGGATGGTGATAATCAACATCTTTGCACACTGTGTACAGGGTGGCACGTGGGTGACATTACATGTTGCGTTAGGACCTGCAGAGCTGGGTCACCGCAGTTACTAAAACAGCAATTCCTGTGAAAACTGATAAGAGGCCAGGAGGGAGCAGGACTCTGAACCCCCGTTCTGCAGTCCTCAGTCCAGACCCTGATGGGCAGTGGCTGTGATGGGGAAGATAACCCTGCACTCTGCCTCATGATTAAAGAACACGGCAGACCTTGAGGAGGACTCGTGCCCAATCTGATCTGAACACTAACAGCAAATCCCCTCACTGCTGCCTGAATGAGAAAATGCCCTTCCCCCTTAACCCTCAGAGAACGTCTTGTCTCAAGAGAGAATCCAGCAGAGGACACCACAGGGACTCACGTGGCACCCCTGGGCACTGAGCACTCAGCTCCCAGGTCCTGGTGGCTACTGTGGTCCAAAGGGCTCACCTCCCCTCAGGTGGCTGGCTCTTCTTAGGAGGCATGTGCCCTGACCCCATGGACAGAGCCTCCTGGGGGACAAAGGCAAAGGACTGTGCCTTTGTCATGACCTTGCTTTAATCCCCAGGCAGTTCACAGGCATCCCTCCGCTCAGCCTGCTGGCCTTGGCCCATGACCCAGCCTCTGGGTTTATTCCTGCTCACTGCAAAGAGGGCAGTAACCAAGGATGGAAAGTTCCTCAGAACAACGTGCATCTGAGCTTCTGAGACGTTCAACAGCTGCTTGGCTGTGCTTGGCCAGTCATGCCTAACGCAGCGTGCCAGTGGGTCACCTGGCATTTGACGAGGTGGCACGTGAGGCCAGAAGGGCAGCACTCCCGGACAGGCACTCTGCTTTTAGAGAAGATGCAAATGGAAAGAATTGTCTAAAAATATTTTCTGAAGAGCATGTTGTAGAGGCCAGCAGCAGGTAGCGTGACACGTGCACGCCAGTCACAAAGCTCTACTTTTTCAGCGTTTCCAGCAAGGGCTATGATGAAGTGTTCCCCAGACTCCCCATCTTCAAAGCCACCTCCATCTCTCCCAACCACAGAGTGCCTTCTGGGCAGTGACCCCTCCATGCCTGCGGGTAAGGGTCCACAGAAGGGATGAGCAGGGCCCTGATTGCCTAAGAGCAGGGCACCACCAGGAGGTGTGAGCTGGTCATGGTGGTGCCCAGAGGTGTTTTCCACTGACCTTTCTTCCGGCTCACTGGGCCTCTTCTGCTCTGCTGAGGCATCCGTTACTGAACTGTAAGTTTCAGTTACAGCACCTCGGTAGGTATGTATTTATGTGGCACTGGAGTTTGATTTGATTTTTACTTTTTTGGTGGTGCTATGGTTTGAACTCAGGGCCTCATGCTTGCTAGGCGGGTGCTGTACTGCTTTGAGCCACTCTGCCAGCCCTGAGACTAGGGTTTGAACTCAGGGCTTTGAGCTTGCAAAGCAGGCACTCTACAGCTTGAGCCACACCTCCAGTCCATTTTGCTCTGGTTATTTTGGAGATGGGTTCTCAAGAACTACTTTGCCTGGGCTGGCCTCCAACCCTGATCCTCCCGATCTCAACCTCCCAAGTAGCCAGGATAATAGGTGTGAACCACCGGTGCCCTGCTCAGCCCTCTTTTTTTTTTTTTTTGGTGGAACTGAGGTTTAAACTCGGGGCCTCACCACTTGCTAGGCAGGCGCTCTACCACTTGAGCCACTCCACCAGCACAGCCCTTTTTCGTTAAGGGAGTTTTTCAAGATAGGGCCTCACGAACTCTTTGCACCGTGGCTGGCTTTGAACCATGATCCTCTTGATCTCTGCCCCCTGAGTAGCCAGGATTACAGGCGTGAGCCACCAGCATCTGCTCATTTTTTATGAATTCCAGTTCCCTGTGAAACTCCGCATCGGGCCTATTTTCTTTGCCATGCTATCCTCAGCTATTTCAAAGCCTACATCTGAAAACCAGTCTCTTAATCTCTGAGTGTCACCTTTCCTTCTCTGCTTTCATTTCTCAGTGGACTTTGTCACCATCGACTGAGCATCAGGCACTGTGTGAGGAATGGTCCTGTCCCCCTGCCCCACCTCAAGCGAAGAGTCACCCTCTGGGCAGCAGAGGTGCAGGTTCGGGACTTTATTGACACTGCAGCCTCCACAGTCCTTGTAAAGTCATTCTACTCAAGACCTGGTCCTCCCTTCTACATGCGCCTGATCGAGAGCCGAGGTTATTTCTTTGCGCCCTTCTCCTGACAGGTCCTCTTCACAGAATTGTCACGTTCAGCTTCTCTTCCCTTCTCTGCTCCATCAGCAAATGCCTGGAGAGACCCTGGTACAGAGGGTCAGCCTGATCTCTGGCCTCCTTCCTTCGCATTGGGCTGCTGCTGCCTCAGCTCGGTCTCCCCACCATGGGAACTTGCCTGCAGCTCTCTGGCTTTGCAGTCCGTGTCCTGCCGGAGAGCTCCAGGCGGAAGGGCTACTCCACAACTTCCGTGTACGTGTGGGCTGCGGCACCTCCCAGGTGCCTTTGCAAGTGGGTTGAGTTGGAAGGTGTTGCTCTGCTGGAGCTCTTCATGTCAAGCAGGTCTGTGCGCGTAGGTCATGAGTCATAAAAAGAGGAGGCAGGGGGATATGGGTTGATCCCCAGCCAGGCTGGTACAACTAGCAGAGCCATGTGGACATCTAAGGTGACCCAGACAACGAGGGCAAGCCAAAATGGACAGGAAGCCATTTCCCTCTGGTCAGCTGAAGGTGCTTGGTTCAGACACCTCTGCAGCCTTCTCCGGATTCTAGGGTCCCAGCCAATGACCTGAAGCATGAGCCAGAAGCTTATCTTTAAGAACAAGGAGCCGGGCGCTGGTGGCTCACCTCTGTAATCCTAGCTACTCAGGAAGCGGAGGTCAGGAGGATCAGAATTCAAAGACAGCCCCTGGCAAAAAGTTCGTGAGACCCTATCTCAAAAACACTCAACACAAAAAAGGCTGGCAGAGTAGCTTAAGTGGTAGAGCGCCTGCCTAGCGAGCATGAGCCCTGAGTTCAAACCTCAGTACCACCCTCTGCCTCCTCCATGGCTGACCCGCCCCCCACCTCTGGCCAGCCTTTTCTACTGCCCAGTTCACGCTGCACATTCTGTCCTACTACTTTCTCTACCTGCTGCTTTTTTGTCACCTCTAATCACAGCTGACATACTCGTGGCTAGTCTCAGCCTTCAAGGTGTAAGTCCCATGGGAGC